TAGCATGACAATGTATTTTAAAATTGTACTTGAAAATTCTAAGCACGTAAAACTTAATATTATTCACACCACAAACAAAATCTCATTGAAATTCGTTATTCTCGAAACTCATTGATTGATAACTCACGTTAAAAATAAAACAAAAATCCATTGTTTTTGTCGTACACAATAAAGAGTGACCTTGTCGTGTGACACGACATTCAGGCGACAAAAACGCAGAGTCCATGGGCCGCTTTATTTTCTCTTTGTATAGTACCCACGCATTATAAAGAATATCGTTTTGTACTTTAATGTCGTGGAATAATTTAGTATTTGAGTTTATTTAGTTAGTCGTGATGAGGTCTTGGGATTTAAAAGAAAGAGAGACTGTTTTTATTGGGAGAATGAACAAGCTTAATGTGAGTATTTTTGTAATTCTAGAGTTGCTATTAATTAATAATAATCTCGTATTTTATGGGTCTTTATGAATTTCAGAAATCCGCTGCATGGTTTTTATGCCATTTTTGTCCCAGTTTAACCTACTGGTTGCATGAATTCCAGGGCCTTTTATTCTATTTTCTTGTTTTGAGCAATTTATTACCAGATCTCTGCATTATATCATTGACATTGTTAACCTATCCTACCATTACAGCATTGATCTGCGTAATTTTAATATTTACTGTCCTATAGACATATGTGCGTAAATATAAGAGATAATTAATCTGGCGCACCTTTGTTTTAGTAAATATTTTGTTCTGTTTTTCCTTTTTTCTGATAGTGAGTTTTACTATTTTATGCCGATATGATTTTTTATCATATTTCAAATGTCTAATACGGTAGTTGACAGGTAGGTAGTCAAATTCAATACTTTTATTGAAATATCAAAAACTATACTTCTCTATGAAATTTCTATTGGATCGCAACAGAAGTCATCATATTTCTGCGCCAAATAGCATACTTATGTCGCGGAAAACCTACCCGTTAGGTTACCGGGGCTCCGGCTCGACGTGCAGGAGAAGGAACGGGGTGGTTTTTAGTCAGTAAGAGTCTGACACTCCCTCCCGCCTCACCCAGGCGGGAGCAGTCATTCGATGATTTTCCCCCCTTAAAAAAAA